TAAACAAATACTTTTGATTTAAGTTCATATTAATAAAGTAAAATAGTTTTGTTGTTTACATAAACTTATCAGGCTAACCTTTGATACATTCAATATTTAATTTTTCAATTTGTATAGTAATTATTTTTATGATTTAGAATATTCAACATTATAGTATTATACCCTCAATGACCAGTTAAAAATGTATGTGTTTATAAATTCTTCCAAGTATTAAACCTACCTATAAAATGTAGTAATGATGGAATTGGTGTATATTGTGAAAATTATTTACATTAAATTAGAAGATAAAAAGACATTGATAATTTCTGTTTAATGTTATTACTTGTTCAAGAAGAAACTACTTWAAACAAATCATTTACTTTCCTTTTTTGAGGTGTTTAAAAAATGATATGAAGTATTTAATTTGATGTTAGGTAATTAAATTAAAAATATAAAAGTTGTTATTGTTATTTTAGGGTTTCCGTGTATCTATATCCTTGGGATTAGTTATAAGTACTACATTAATAGTAGTATTAGGAAACTATTGGAAAAGAAGAAAGTATTCTCGAGAATCTGCTCCAGTTATCAAACATTATTCCTACGATAAAAGAAAAGCTAATGTTGATGTACCTTCAGGTAAGTTAAAATGTTTATTCAAACAATTAATCACATATTTATTTTATTTCTATATTTTATGTTTCAGTTTCTAGTTTTCGAATTTTTAGAACTAGTCATAGATCATTAAGTCCAAGCATCAAATCCACCAATAGGCAAACATCTGTGATATCTTCAACTCAAGATTCTCCAAGCCATTGTAAATCTTCGGAAGTTAAGTATACTGCACCTCAACAACTAGGTGTAATGGGTAAGTAATGGTTTAAAAGTTTAGTTGATAATGTTTAATTATTTGTACTCAAATTATGTTAATGGTTGTTTTTAAGGAATGGAATCATTAGCTTGTAGTATATCGTTTTGGGAAGACGCATTGATAGCTTTTTCCGGCAATAATTCAACAATGGTATCCAATAAACTTATGTCTACTGAAGATTCTCAATTTTGTAAGGAACTTCAGCTATTAGTGGATTCTGCTTATTCATTGCAAGATCAATGTCAATTACTTTTCTTAGATCAAGTAAGGATTTTATATTTTTATTTTATTTAAGTATTACAAAAGTTGTAGTTTATCATTATATCATTTTTTTTTCTTAATTTAGAGGTCAGTATTATTTCGTGTTCAACAAAATAGAAATGGAGACACATTGAAGTTTGATGATCGTCGTTCTTCAGTAGATAGTTTTGTATCAGCACGCACAGATGTAAGCTATGTATCTTGTATTAGGAGTCTTAATTGTAATATATATATATATATATACACACACACGAGTATATATTAATACTTATGCTAAGATTAACACTGTTTTTTAATTTTTTATGTGGTACCATCATATGGATATGAACTGTTCACCAAAAGTTAATACTATTATCATTTTTTATTTTTAAACCATTTTTTTTTTTTTTGTAGTGGCATACTAGTTTATACTAAAATTGTTAAATGTGTATAATGAAAAATATGACAGGTGAAAATGTTTAAATCTCTCTTTTAAATTTTTTTTTTTACTAATTTATTATCCTTGGAGACTTGAATTTTGTGAGTTTGTTGCTATAAACATTTCCAAAAAGTATTGATAACTGGTTGACTAAGAAGTCTTTTATTAAGAACATTTACTAAACTTTATGACGTTCATGGTATACTTGTGTGTGTGTGTGTGTGG